AGCGGATCTTTTTTTAATCTTCCCAGGAAAAAGACTCATATAATATTGTCGAACTTTTTTAATCTACCCCGACGTGCTAATAAATTCAGGATTTTTAAATTTTCATTCTCATTCATAGATGTCTTATAGAAAACTAGTTACGGTTCATTTCTTCATCTTCTTCTTCTTGATAGAACTGTGTTCTGTTTGATATAGTTAAGCCTTCTTTCCTCAGGGTGTTTGTTGTTCTTGTGATGTCGACATCAAGCTTTCATGACACCATTTTGGTGGTCTTCCTATTGGTCTCGTTATTCCGAATTTTTCATGATTTCGCCACTTTCAGGAATCTTCTGTCGTCTATTTTGTCTATATGGTCACGCCATGCTCTTCTTCTCTCTCTAATCCACTTTACAACATCTTGGGTCTTATATTCCTTATTTATTTCTTTGTTTCTCTTTCTGTCTCTCAGTGAGTTCTCTGTTATAGCTTGTAGCGTTTTCATTTCCGTAGTTCTCAAGGTACACTTTGTTATCGTGGACTCTGCCCTTGTTTCTGCCGTTTAGGTTATTCGCATTGGTCTGACGCAAGTTTTGTATAACCGTATATTGCTTTTGATGCTCATATATTTGTTTCTCCATACGATATCTCTAAAGTATCTAGAAATTATAGAGGCTTCTGTTGTTTGGTCTCTTGCCTCCACTTCCTGGTTTCTATCACTTGTGATAGTCATTCATAGATATTCAAAATACATCACTTGGTTGATTATTATTATTATTATTATTAACTGGCATTAGGAACTCGAAAGCTCATTGCCGCAAATACAAAATCCCGCCAATGTTCCCGTCCCATTTGCGGTATTCGTAGCCCATTTCCTTAAGATCCCGAAACAATATTGTCCTCCCATCTACGTCTCGGTCTACCTAGTGGTCTTTTCCCGTTTGGTATACCGACCAATATTTTGTGCGCCGTTCGATCCTCCCCCATACGCGCCACGTGACCAGCCCATCTTAATCGGATCACTTGGTTGATACTTTTGTTGCATATTTGCTAACTTGCATCATCTGGAGCTCTTTGGAGATGATGAGTGATTCAGTTTTCTGTACCAAAATGATCATATTAACACTTAGCCAACCGCTCGGGTAGATCTACCCTTTTCCAAATTAGTCGGTTGCCCTCTAAAGGAAGATCTATCCTTTTCATCTGAGGAACGCTTCTTTCTCTATAGAGCTTATTTATATAGGGTACAACATATAATAAAATGCATCAATTTTTGAAATCTTTTATTGCTCATTATTACGGCTCTTTATTTTCGGGATTTCTGAAGGAGTCTTTGCCAGCCATAAAATTATTTTCTAAAACACTACTTTAGAAAAATGCGCGGTGGAGAGCGCAGTTTGACTTTCTCGAGCGAGGTGGAAACTGTAGAGGTCTCTGTGAGGCATTCGGTCGGCTAAGTGTTAAGCTTTCCTGCCATCTTTTCGAATTTATATGGCATTCTTTGCAGATCATCATCATCTTTTGATGAGGACATAACAGATTAGGAGTACAAATGAGTTTCCACCGAATTTATTTTGACAGAACGGTACATTACATTTATTCGAAGTATTATCCATCACAAGCGATTACTTTTTCCCATCTCTCAGGCAACATTCTGAAGAACACTTTCATCTTTTGAGGTTATCCACGAATCAACACAATTTATAGAATCTTCATACGATATAAAGCTCTGTTCAGACAGACCATGTGCCATCGATCACAATAAATGATAGTCGGACAGCGTAATGTCTGATGAATACAGCAGGTAGGGTAACGCTTCCCAATCAGGTGTTTAAATAGTTTTTGACCAAAACCACAACATGGGGACGAGCATTATCATGGAGGAGAATAATTTTGTCGTGTCTGGAGTAGTAATTAGTGCGTTTTTCCTTCAGAGCTCGGCTCAATCTCATTAATTGTGTTCGGTAGAGGACTCCAGTAATGGTTTCGCTCGGATTGGGCAACTCGTAATACACGACACCCCTGTTTTCGTACGTTTTCGGTCCTTCCACTGCGATCTTTGTCTTTTACGCCAAAGTCACTTGTTTAAACATGTTTAAACTTTTGAAACCACTCACGACAAGTTCTCTCACTTAAAGCAGTCTTATCATATGCTTCTACAAGCAATCAATGCACCTCAGCTTCAGATTTTTTTTCAATTGAAGAAGTAAATTAAAAGTTGCGGCAAATGATGCTTATTTGGAATAAATTTAGACATGTTTGGGGAAACAAAATGATATGATGCTGATACAAAGTCAATAATACTTCAAACTAATGTTTTTACTATACTTTAGGTTATCTTTCATTTATCATTCTAACCTAACCCTTGAGTAGCAGCACCATCTTTTTTAAAATGGCAGATAATTATTTGTACACCTAATATAGGTGAAATACGGACAGTAATTTCGTTTTTTCCTGGCACAATAAAGGCATTAGTTGATGCAAACTGACAAACAACATTTGTGAGATCAGTGAGAGGTTAAATTTATCAAATTCAACTATTTATACCCACTGGAAAGGCGTAGGTTTAACCTCGAAGCGAAAATTGTATTCATTTTCACAAAAGAAAAACGAAACCGAACTTACTTTATGCCGTCAATTTGAACCTAACCTTTCATTTGTCAATTTTAACCTAAACCTTGAGTAGAGCATCATATTTTTTAAAACATTGGACACTTATTTGTACACCTAATATTATTTTTATGGTCTTTCTTTCCTAACCTAACTCCCTCTTCAGTTTTTCACCTCCCTAATTATTTCGTTCATGATCAGATTGAAAAGGATCAGACTGAGACTGTCTCCCTGTTTGATTTCTCTCGTTATTGGGATGTTTTTCTTCGTCATATTGCCTGATCTTGCTTCTGTATAAGTATATTAAACGTTTTTACGTATAAAAACGTTGAATATATGTATACTCGCTTATGTATGCATGCGTGAGTGTTTGAAAATAACGTGGGTGTCGAGGTTTTGCTAACAACAAGAGAGAGGTAGATAGAAAATGATCGCTGTAGATCCGTGGTTGGAAAAGAAGATGAGATGAAGCTAAATAGAGACGAGAACGAACGGTCGTCGTCGTTCTCGGTTACATATAACTCTCTCTCTCTCTCTCTCTCTCTCTCTTTTACTGTGCTTACTTGCCAGTGTAGTTTAAGCTTTTAGTTAGTGACGGTGTCTCTCACGCGGAGGACCCTATTACATCCAGGAAAATCAACACTTTTTTCAACGTAACATCTTTAAACTTGCCGATCATGCAAAATCGTCCATACGAAATTGGTGAATATTTTTTTAAATAAAAATTAACACTTTTTTTTTAATACCTAACAATAATTATTATTTTACTATTTAAATTAGACGAATTAATAGTTCAATTGTTAGAAGTAGAATCTAGTTTTACAGTTGATGACGCAACGAGTTAATCCAGTCTCTATCTTATTTACGATTCATGCATGCATCTATGAATAACTAAATATTTATAATAATAATAAATGAATAATTTTTTCATTGAACAAAAATTCAACCTTTTTTTTCAATTTGTTATAACATCTATGATTTTGTAACATGTCTCATGTCATCTTCGTAGTATTTATTGATATCATTGTTCAATAACACACAAGTCACTTTCTCTGTGAGCTAAAACGAGTTTAAAACCGCGCCTATGAGAACTCTATCGAAAGTGTAGGTATTTATATATATATATATATACATATGTATATGAGAAACAATACATTGTAACCCTACCCTCCACTGTCTTTTCTTTCTATTTTGGAGTTTCTGTCTCCTTGTGCAAAAGCTTTTTAGCTTCAAATAAAATACAAGTATAACAATTTTTCCTTGAATAGAAAAAAAAAAAAAAGAAAAAAAAATATGGAGACTCGGAACGGAAGGGGCACGACCAATGCGGGCCAAAGCACTGTGCTATTCATAGCACCACAGCTACATAATCTCTCTCTCTCTTTCTCTCATACATATATACGTAGAGTTCAGTATCAGTTTGAAACCACGATGAACGGAACGTGCAATAAAGAGCCTAGGTTGTTGGTTGGTATGTTTCACGCACCGGCACAGGCACCGGCACCAGTACCGGCACCGGGAATCGATGTTCTCGCTGGATCGATGATGCTACACGATAACAAAGTGCTATTATTTCAAAAGTTTGCTGTATAGTAGTTTGTGTTAGAAAAAGACGGAAGTTTCAATTATTTACCAATACTACGTTGATTTATTTTCAACGATTACTATTGTTTCAAAATTAATAACGTTTTGTGTGTTATTTCATTTACTTTCTGTAATCTGTTAACCGGATAATTGTCTTTTTAATTATGCAGTTTTCTTTATTATTTATTATTTTTTATGTTTAAAATAAATAATAGGACTATGAAATAAATATATATTTATTTAGTTTATTTATATATAATATACAAAAGTTTCTACCTTTAGTGATAACACTTGATTTACCGCCATTTTTAGTGTACGTATTTTTACCACGCTAGTCAAAATAACTGGTGTATACAAAAAACATGCTTATTGAAGCTTCCAGTCTTTATTTACTCTTAAAAAATAACAAAAATAAGTTTGACAATATTAATATTAATAGATAAATAGATTTATAGACATTTTCAAATAACAAAACGCTTAAATTTTGTACGTTTGACGTATTTATACGTCCCGCTAGGTTAACAGGTTAAAAGACATCACTAGTTTTTCTTTCTTTTTTGCCATACCTCCACAATATATATCAGTGGTACTCAGATTTTTTTGTGCTAACGCCACCTTTCTAGGAAAAATATTGGTACTTACGAATTAATAAAACCGCAGCTAAATTCCGATAATACGATAATCTAAACCTTAAATTGTTGCGACAAATCATAAAATAAAAAACTTTATTTAAAATCAAAACAGTCTTAGAATTCAAAAAATTTTATTTGTAAGAAGTAGTCAATCAGATTTCAGTGGAATGTAAGCCGCTATAGAATTTAACATAGATTTAATACAGTCTCTTTTTACTTTCACCTAATGCTGTCGCCATAACCCTGACGCAACCCTGACGCAACCCTGACGATGCCTGATACAACCTTGACGATCCCTGACGAAACACTGACGAAACCCTGACGCAACCCTGACGAAACCCTGACGCAACCCTGACGAAACCCTGACGATTCCTGACGATCCCTGACGATCAGTGACGCAACCCTGACGCAACTCTAACGATCCCTGACGATCACTGACGCAACCCTGACGAAACCCTGACGCAACCCTGACGATCCCTGACGCAACCCTGACGAAATTCGGACGAAATCCTGACGCAACCCTGACGGTTGCTGTGTGCAAACAACAAGATTGCTCTTTATTGGCGCATTAGCGGAATTTTTGCTGCGATGGCGTTAATACGCAAGTACCAAAATATTACTTAGCGCCCCCTGGAAATTATTTTTTCTGGGGCCTTGAGAGATTGCAAATGACTCGCTTAATTTTCAATATTTTCATCCAAAAATTTGGTCATATATTCATTACATATCCACGAATATCTTCTTAAAAAATGGAAACATTCCATGCATTAGTTTTCTTTAAAAAAAATTCCGAAAAATCATCTTCTTTTCAAGAGGTCACTAGTGGTGTCCCTTAACTGTTTCAAAGTAAACGAGAAAAGAAGTTTTCACCTGCATTCTTATATACCAGTTCACAGAATATGTAATTCAGTAGCAGTGCGAACATGTTTAAACGATATTCCATAAAACTACATTCGATATTGGCTAACTCGAATTACTAAGTGTCATCGATGAAATGATTGTTCGCGAGATGAAACTTAACCTATATAATATAATATAACACGCATGATATGCTAATGCACAAATTGGCTCGTAAAACGTGAATTTTCTACCAGAGTAAAATTGAAACGTTAACCCATTACGCAGCTACTTGTTTCAACCTTTACAATTTTGTATCATTAAAATGTAACTTTTGTTTGTATCGTATATTTGACTACAGTACGCATAATCGTGTTGTTCCTGTATTCCTATGTGAACGATGTTGAATAACTTCCACTTCCTTATACTTTTCTTTTCTACGATATTTCTAACAAATGTTATTAGAAAATAATATACTACGTGTAAGCACATATATTTATTAGATGGATCAAAAAGTAATTTCGTTTTCTAACCTCAAATTTAAACGAATAAATTTCTAACAAGTTCTTATTTTTAATCAATAAAGTAATCAATTTTTGTTATCAATAACTTATTTTTATCTACTATACAAATTGTTAATATGGGATCAATAAAAATCAATCTGTTTTGATTAAAATTTAAAAATTGATATGCTTAGAAACGACATTACTTTCCAGTTACCCTAATATATATATATTGGGTGACCCAGCATATATTTTTCATTGCGAAAAATCACCTTTTTTCCAAACGGTTACACTAGTGTTTACTTTTTAAAGTAAAAACTTAATTTTTCAGAGACGATGACGAGCCTATCTGCGAGAGACACCGTCAAATCGATCAATTCGACTAACTCAACGACGAACGGGGAATTTTCCGCGATGATAATTCCCAACGATCCACGTCTTCAGTGTAATAGAAAACGAAGACGATTGGATATTTCGGCAACTGCCACGGTAATTCCCCAAAAGACGCTACGACGCAACGAACAGGATGATGACAATGGCTACGATAATACTAACAATATTCTTCCCGTCAATTATTATGAAAATTTACGAACGGTTAAGCGTGAGAACAAGAAGTTTAAGTAAGTATTACGTCTCTTGTGACATTTATTATATTTTTTCTAATCAAAGAAAAGGTATATGACAATTATTTATGATAACATATTGTATTAACCCATTACCAATGGATTGATAACGGGTAGGGACCCTATAGGAGGGACACGCCATGTACATTGCTATGCTGAAAATGTGAGGGGACAGCTTCGTTGCATCGCGCAGCCATGTTTATCTTTAGTATGTATTAACGGCTGTGGTTAGTTTAAGTTTGGAATACTTATAGTTTTTATTGTGTTATNTAATTAAATAAAAACAAAATATTAAAATAATATAATAATAATAATAATATATTCAAACAATATAAGCATTAATTTAAAATAAAAATTATATTATTCATTTACAATAAAATATTAAGAATTAAAAATATTTTCATGAAGCATGAAGTACAATTTCACAATTTAAACAAATATATATTTTATTCTAAAGTTACACTTATTAAAAAAAAAAAAAAAAAAAACAATTTAAAAATGCGTCCCATAAAAAGGACCATTGGCGGTTAATGGGTTAAGTGGTTATTGTACTATTTTATCCTACATATGATTTGGCAACTTCTTATGCATCATGCAGTCAATCTTGGAAATAATTCTCGTACAAGCAATAAACTGGATCGCGTCTCATAGTCGATATTCGAGTATATTTATTTCGATAGTTCTAGAAATATATAAAAAAAAAAAAAAATAATCCCTGCAAAAATTCCTGCATAAATATACTGCAGTATCATTTCAAGTGATTATTATTTCAAATATATTTGTTATCATCGTACTCGAGATAAGAATCGAATTCATATCATATCAAATTACAATTATTATTTTATTCAATTATTTTCTAAATTCAAGTACAACTTTTTTTTTACACAGAATATATATATATATATATTTTTATCATAATAAATTGCAAATATTATAAAATAACATAATTTCTATTCAATTTAAAGTTGTCATGTTAATTAGTATTTTCCTTTTCCTTTGTTTCTTTTTCAAATTGATTTCATTTGCTATTTCCAACCGTGCCCTTTTTTATTGTTCTTCGATACTCTTAAAAAAAAAAAAAAAAAAGAAAGAAAAAGAAAATGATTATGTAAATCTCACGAGGATAATACAGTTAATAGTTTCACGATACAGTCATTGATCGATAACAATTTACTCGTTAATAATTGAACGTAAACAATTATGAAAGCATGCAAAGTGTATTTTGATTGGTCTAACAATAAACTATCGATCCTACTTTCACGTTTCAAGTCTCTGAATATAAATATCCGAATCGAAAAAGGATCAAAATTGTCAAGCTTTCCTTTTTCTTTTCATTTTTTTTTTTATTTTGCAAGCACTTCTAACAATAATCACACATACAATAATATCACCTATATACACACATTATATACAAACCTATAAACGAAGAAAGAGTATATGACACGATATATATATATCCACCATTCGTAATACAACACACTGTAAATAGACACTACCTCACGGATATTCACCTGACATATACATATACATATATATTTCACTGTATAACATACTTTGAAACGTTCAGAAAATTCGATTGAACTTTTATTTGTTCAATTAAACAATTCATAATAATATTTAGATAAATTACTAAAAAAACCTAAATATATATATATATATACAAATGATTGTTGCTAACTCGAATTATAATATTAGTTGTGTTGAACCTTAGCAGGACGCGCGAACCGGAGGAGATTGTCTCCCTGGGCTTTACACGGTCGACGCTCGGCTTCGAACCTTTCGAGGTGGGGGTTGGGGGTGGGGGGTTGTTGCTTAGTGCACAGGCGTCGATCGATATGAACGCGAACGGAAAAACCACCCTCTCACGATTCGCGCGACTCTCCTTCACCGGCTACTCGTGCCCTAGGTTACTCGACTCACACAACCCCTAGGCACTCCCGAGATACTATGTTGTAGTAGTACCTCTCTTATTTTCTTCCTTTACCATTTTTCCCCACCCCTCATGTCACCCCTCACTCTCTCTCTCTTTCTCTCTCTCTCTCTCTCTCTCTCTCTCTCTGTCTCTCTGTCTCTGTCCTTCTCTTCAAGCTAGACGAAGAGGTCTAGTTTGTGATACTATTGTTAGAAAATTATTTCAACTCTTTCTCTTCTACTTTTCATATTTTTTTCTTCTAATTTACGCGTAACTAATTTGAAAATACTTCTTTTGTTTTTTTATTTTTTTTTTATTTTTTATTTTTTATTCGATTTGTCACACAAGATAATTTTGCTATTCCTGATTCATATTAATTCTCATCGATATTTTTATTACATTCGATTATTTTCTTCAGTAATATGAGCCGTTTATCTTGAAAGTGGGCTAACTCTATTTATGTTCGAATTGAGATATTAAAGGGTTTGTTTGCGTTTCAATGCAATTAAAAATATACGTACAGGATACTAACGAGTTATACTGTTAAGGATGTTAAATTTACAGTTTCTATTAAAATAGTGCTAATTATTAAATGAACAGTATGCGTTTTCTTAACAAAAATGCAGTCAGACTACCACTTTCAAAATTAACAACCAGATTCATTAGAAAATTTGAAGTAACCCAAGTCCATTCAACATAATTTAAGATGCTTCAAATTGAAAACAAAAATAATACTCAATTTATTTGACATATCTTTAAAACACTTCAGAAACATAATTTATGCGAATGAAAACATTTTTTAACTTACATCAATTACAAAACAATTTACTTCTCATTTACATTTTGCGTGAGTGAAAGGGATTTGAAGAAACCATGATATTCCAGTGGTATATGTCGTAGTAGGTTCATTATGTCCTTGAATTTTGCTGTTGTAATTTGTCTGATATTTTCATACAGTGGTGTCAATATAATATTGTCGAACTTTTTCGGTTCTACCCAGACGTGCTAATAAATTCAGGATTTTCAAATTTTCATTCTCATTCATCGATGTTTTATAAAAAATTTGATACGGTTTCATTTCTGACAAAACTAATTCAAACATATTTTTAATCAGTTTATCGATTCTCCGTTAGAATTGTGTACTATTTTTAAAAATTGCCTTTTCTAATAATTTTGTTCATACAAAAATCTTCTTGTTTCATTTGATTTACAATAAAGTTATTA